AAAATGATCATTTTTAAGGCCCATGTCATTCCAAAAGTTAGTAAGTCATCAGCACTATTTACTGGAAGTTAAAAGAAAATAATATGAATTTAACTTCCACTTAAGAATTAAGTAATATCAAGAATAGAGTTTTTTCTTTATTATTTAAAAATATTTCGTTACAGCATTTTAGAAACAACAGGGGTTTTGGACCCAGGAAAATTAGGGTAGAAGGACAGCTCTGTATGTTTTAGTCTTATGGTGTCACTTTTCTAAGCCTGACTCTCCTTTTCTTCTGCAGAAGGTATGTGTGATAGAGTAATAACGTGATTATTTTGAAATGTAATAGAACACCTAGCTTATGTGGCCAGTGTTAGTAAATTCCCATTATATGAGGATGACTATGGTTTTAATAATGGTACTAAAGATGATCATGCTGATAATGATTATGTTGATGATTATTTGGACCAAATAACTTGTTTAATATATTTTTAAAATTTTTTTATTAAAGAAAATATTACTGTTATGTTTCACTTTTCAATGTATTATATGACATTAAAATTTTATAATATTTTATGCTAATGTCAGTAATCCTGTGAAAAGAGCACAATATACCTAATAATATTTTTAAAAATATATTAATGATTGTAATATTAAAATTATGAGAAAGGCATAGATATCATTCAAATGTCATGGCAAATGAGTAGCATACTTTCTCTTATTTATCCTCACAAACAGATGAAAACAAAGTTCAGAAAATTACATTTCCAAAGATGGCTTAACTCTCAGAAAGTACAGCTTGAATTGAATTTAAGCTTTCTTATTCCAGAAGAAACTTACCAGAACAATTTATCAACATGCTTAGTCTTATTCTCTAGTAATTAAAATTAAAAGTAATTAATTATGTGCTTTTCTAAAAAAGTTTCTTTATGATATCTATTGTAGATTTGAGAGTGTAGACAGTGCTGCTGTAGAAAGAAGATAGCTGCGGAAATGGAGAATGAGACTACTGTCCAGGAATTCCTCCTGGAGGGCTTTCCTGCTGTCCAGCATCTGGGAAAAGTCCTCTTCCTGATGCACTTGCTGGCATACCTGGCATCCGTCACAGGAAATGCAATCATAGTCACTATCACCTGCATTGATGCTCATCTCCACACACCAATGTACTTTTTTCTCATCATATTCTCCTTCTTTGAGTGTTGTTTCATAAGTTTGGTTATTCCTAAATTGATGGTCATCTTTCTTTTAGGCAAACAAACAATTTCCTTTTCTGCTTGCTTTGTACAAGCCTTTGTATTTGTATTTCTGGGGACAGCATGTTTCCTGCTAATAGCTGTGATGTCTCTGGATTGGTACATGGCTATTTGCAGACCACTGCATTACCCCACCATCATGAACCTGAGGACTTATCTGTTCCTGGTCACAGCTTGCATTTCTTTGGCTTTCATTCTCATTGCAGGTGTGGTTGTGAAAGTTTCCCAGTTATCTTTTTGTGGTCCAAATGTTATCACCCACTTCTTCTGTGACCTTGGCCCTCTGATCCACCTCTCCTGTTCTAACACAAAATCTGTTGAATTGATGGCTTTCCTTTTGGCTTTGTTCATCCTTATTGTATCCCTTATTATAACCATCACTGCATACAGCCATATAGTAGTCACAATTGTTCATCTTTCATCAGCCAAGAACAGACAGAAAGCTTTCTCCACTTGCTCATCTTACCTCATTGTTCTCTTTCTGATGTATGGCAGCTGTGTCTTTATATATGTAAAACCAAAGCAATCCAGCAGACTGGACTCCAACAGAGAGGCTGCCCTTGTGAACACTATGTTTACCCCGCTACTGAACCCCATCATCTACAAGCTATGGAATAAGCAAGTACACCAGGCTCTGAAAGAGAACATGTGTAGAGTAAGAATATCAAGATAAAAGAAATTATGTGACAGAAGTGGAAAGTTTGAGGCTTCTTTGTTACCCTTCCAGTCAATGCAAAAATCTGAATATCTAACTGGAGAGATTCTACCAGAGTTCATGCGTGTATCTCCAGCAAAATAAAAATCTTCACTCTCTTGGGCACATTTTATCTTATTGTATTTTAAGTATATTTTTCTTACTACATCTATGGACAATTAGTTTTAATTAAATATTTTTTCAGAATTTTTCCTTCAAAATCAATCCCAGAACATTTGATTGTGCTAATGTGAAACCTATACTTGGACCAAGAGACAGTCTTCAGAACAGAGCAGGGAGACACTGCATGGTTCAAAATCAAGAAAGGGGTCCGTCAGGGATGTATTTTGTCTCCATACCTTTTCAATTTGTATACAGAACATATCATCCAAAATGCTGGGCTGTACGAGGAGGAATGTGGCATCAGGATTGGTGGAAGAATCAACAACCTACGTCATGCTGATGACACAACCTGCTTGCTGAAACTGAGGAGGACCTGAAGCGCTTGCTGCTAGGTCAAGGACTGCAGTCTCCTATATGGATTGAAGCTCAACATCAAGAAAACAAATATTCTCACCACTGGGCCAATTGGCAGCATCAGTATGGATGGTGAAGAGATTGAGATAGTTAACAGTTTTAGTTTACTTGGTTCCACAGTC